AGAATACCAAGGACCGATGATAACCTTCACTGAAGCCGACCTAGAGATGGTCCAGCATCCGCATAATGATGCCTTGGTAGTATCCCTCCAGGTTGGGGAATGCCAAGTAAAACGCATCCTAATAGATCAAGGCAGCTCTTGTGACATCATGTACGTCAGATGTTACAAAGAGCTGGGCCTTCATCCTGACGACCTGGAACAATCCAGCAACCCGATGGTCGGCTTCAATGGAACACCGACATGGCCACTGGGCGCAGCAAGCGTGGAAGTACAAGCTGGCACTAAGAAGATCAAGACAGAATTTATGGTGATTGACACACCCTCGCCATACAACATCATTTTGGGAAGACCGTGGTTGCATGCAATGGGGGCAGTTCCCTCAACATTGCATCAACTACTATGGTTTCCCACAGAGCATGGGATTGAAGAAGTCAAAGGAGATCAACTGCAAGCAAAAAATTGCTCCATGGCAGCAATGAAGTCTACTTGCAGCATTTGAGAGCCAAAAGAGGCAGAGATTGAAGACGAGGACATGGAGGTCCTAGATGATGTCGGTAAGGAGCCAACCGAAAAGAGTGAAGAGACACTAAAGAAAATCCTTGTCCAGGAAGGCGACGAAGAACGCTTCTTTCTTCTCGGCTCAGGCTTAGCCGAAAAAGAGGAAAGAGAACTGGAAGATTTTTTGAGAGCCAACATAGAGGTGTTCGCGTGGACACCTTACGAGATGCCTGGCATTAACCCCGAGGTCACTTGCCACAGACTGAATGTCGACAGGTCGGCAAAACCTGTGATTCAACGAGCCAGAAGACCGACGTTGATACACGTCGAAGCAGTAGAAGAAGAAGTAGACAAACTTCTGGAAGCCAAGGCCATCCGAGAAGTTCACTACCCGACATGGCTGTCCAACACAGTAGTAGTGAAAAAGAAGAACGGCAAATGGAGAGTCTGTGTAGACTTTACCAGCCTCAACAAAGCCTGCCCCAAAGACAGCTTTCCTCTGCCCAAGATTGAACAGCTAGTAGATGCAACCTCAGGGCACGAAAGGATGAGTTTTTTGGATGCGCACAGGGGGTACCACCAGATTGCCATGTACCCTCCAGACGAGGAGAAGACCGCGTTCATCACCCCTAAAGGCTTGTACTGTTACAAAGTAATGCCTTTTGGGTTGAAAAACGCAGGAGCAACTTACCAAAGGTTGGTAACGAAGATGTTCAAGCACCTGATTGGCAAAACGGTAGAAGTCTACATCGATGACATGGTCGTGAAGACCAAGGAATCTAAGGGTCATCTTACCGACCTAAAAGAAGTCTTTGATATACTTAAAACATACCGGCTCCGACTCAATGCATCAAAGTGCGCGTTTGGAGTTGGATCAGGTAAGTTTTTAAGGTATCTGGTAACAAGAAAGGGCATTGAGGCCAGCCTAGACCAAATCAAGGCCATCCTAGAGCTGAAGAGCCCAACGTCGGCAAAACAGGTTCAGATGCTTACTGGAAGGGCCCCAGCCTTAAACAGATTCATCAGCAGAAGCTCAGATAAATGCAAACCCTTCTTCAACGTGGTGAAAAAAGCCATAGACTTTCTGTGGACAGAAGAATGCGAAGCCGCTTTAACCGACCTAAAGAAGTACTTGACCACAACTCCGGTTCTTTCCAATCCAGAACCAGGGGAAGAACTGTTTTTGTACTTGGCAGTTTCAGAACACGCAGTCAGTGCAGTACTAATCCGAGAAGAAAAAAGGGAGCAAAAGGCTGTTTATTATGTAAGCAAAACCTTGGCCAATGTAGAAACAAGGTATCTACCACTGGAGAAATTAATGCTAGCCTTAGTAATGGCTTCAAAGAAACTGAACCATTACTTTCAGGCGCACAAGATTGTGGTCTTAACAGAGCATCCACTAAAGTCCTTGTTACAACAAGGAGACTTAACAGGAAGGATAGCAAGATGGGCCGTAGCCCTAGGTCAGTATGACCTGGAGTTCAGGCCGAGAACAGCAGTTAAAGGCCAAGTTTTGGCCGACTTCGTGGCAGAATTCACCCCCGAAACCATCGTACATCGGGCTCTGTTGAGCCAGGATGAGCATTGTCCCAGCAAGCAAGGAGAATCCCAGCCAAAGGCAAAAGAGCAAAAGAAGGAAAAGCTCAGACCCTGTAGCATCTACATCGGCGACTCATTCAGACTATTCGTCGATGGAATTTCGAACCGACAAGGAGCAGGGGCAGGAGTACTGCTGATATCTCCAGATGGATAAATAATAGAACAGTCCATCCGTTTGGGGTTCAAGGCCTCAAACAATAAAGCAGAATACGAAGCATTAATTGCAGGGCTAAAACTGGCAGCAGCAGCAGAAGCAGACGAGATAATAGTTTTTTGTGATTCACAACTTATTGTTAACCAGTCAACAGGCCAATTTGCAGCCAGGGACGAAAGGATGTCGGCATATGCAAAAGAGGTCATCAGATTGACAGCCCTACTTCAGAACTGCCGACTACTCCAAGTTAGCCGAGATGACAACACCCACGCCGACGCGTTGGCTAACCTGGCAAGTTCAATCCAGACTGGAAAAAAAAAGACAATTATGATCGACTATATGTCGGGCCCGAGCATAGAACCAGAGAACACAGGGCAGCAAGCAATGTGTGTGGACATGGGGCCAAGCTGGATGGATACAATTGTTGCATTCCTAAAAGAAGGAAAGCTGCCAGAAGATCGTAAGGAGGCGCATAAAGTCAGATTAAAATCTGCAAGATTCAGTCTGACAGAAGATGGACGTCTTTACAGAAGGTCCTTCACTGGACCCCTTTTAAGGTGCGTACACCCTTTGCAGGTTGAAGATTTCCTATATGAAATTCATGAAGGAATTTGTGGAAGCCATGCTGGGGGCAGATCACTTGCCCACAGGGCCATTACCCAGGGATATTGGTGGCCCTACATGCAAAAGGATGCTGAAGCCTATGTAAAGAAGTGTGAACAATGCCAAAGGTTTGCACCTTTGATACATCAGCCAGCTGCTGATCTGAACCCAGTATCCAGCCTACCACCAGATTGCCATGTACCCTCCAGACGAGGAGAAGACCGCGTTCATCACCCCTAAAGGCCTGTACTG